CCCCCAGAGAATCCCAGTGTCCCCCAGTGTCCCCCAGTGTGACCCCTGAGCCCCTGGGAATGTCCCCAATGTCCCCCCAGTGTCCCCCCATGTCCCGATATCCCGATAATCCCGCATGTCGCGATATCGCGATATCCCCACATCCCGAGATTCCCATATCCTGATAATCCCCCATGTCGCGATATCGCGATATCCAGTATCCCATATCCCGATATCCTGATAATCCCCCATGTCCCAATATCCTGATATCCCGATAATCCCCCATGTCGTGATACCCTGATATCCCGATAATCCCCATATCCCGATATCCTGATATCCCGTATCCTGATACCTCCATATCCCATGTCCCGATAATCCTTCATGTTGTGATACCCTGATATCCCGATATCCCCATATCCCGATATCCTGATATCCCGTATCCTGATATCCCATATCCCATGTCCCGATAATCCCCCATGTCGCGATATCGCAATATCCCGTATCCCATATCCCGATATCCTGATAATCCCCCATGTCCCGATATCCTGATATCCCGTATCCCATATCCCGATAATCCTCCATGTCGTGATACCCTGATATCCCGATAATCCCCATATCCCAATAATCCCCATGTCCCGATATCCCGATAATCCCCCATGTCCCGATATCACGATATCCTGTATCCCATATCCCGATATCCCCATATCCCTTATCCCGATAATCCTCCATGTCGTGATACCCTGATATCCCGATAATCCCCATATCCCTTATCCCAATATCCCGATAATCCCCCATGTCGCGATATCGCGATATCCAGTATCCCATATCCTGATATCCTGATAATCCCCCATGTCGTGATACCCTGATATCCCGATAATCCCCATATCCCTTATCCCAATATCCCGATAATCCCCCATGTCGCGATATCGCGATATCCAGTATCCCATATCCTGATATCCTGATAATCCCCCATGTCGTGATACCCTGATGTCCCGATAATCCCCCATATCCCGATATCCCGTATCCCATATCCTGATACCTCCATATCCCATATCCCGATAATCCTTCATGTTGTGATACCCTGATATCCCGATATCCCCATATCCCATATCCCGATATCCCGATAATCCCCCATGTCCTGATAATCCCGATAATCCCCCATATCCCGATATCCCAATAATCCCCCATATCCCTTATCCCGATAATCCCCCATGTCTTGATATCCCAATATCCCGATAATCCCCCATATCTCGATATCCTGATAATCCCCCATGTCCTGATATCCTGATAATCCCCCATGTCCCGATATCCCGTATCCCATATCCCGATATCTCCATATCCCATATCCCGATACCTCCGTATCCCCCATATCCCGATATCCCCGTATCCCGATATTCCCCCGTGTCGCGATATCCCGATATCCCCGTATCCCGATATTCCCCCATGTCGCGATATCCCGATATCCCCGTATCCCGATAATCCCCCGTGTCGCGATATCCCGATATCCCCGTATCCCGATAATCCCCCGTGTCGCGATACCCCCAATACCCCGATATCCCTGATACCCCGATGCCTCCCATATCCCGACATCCCTGCTATCGCGACAGCCCCCGCTATCGCGACAATCCCCCCATAACCCAAAAATCCCCGATATCGCGACAATCCCTGCTATCGCGACATGCAGGTGTCTATCGCGACAGGCGGGTGTCTATCGCGACGGGAGTGTGTCTATCGCGACAGGCGGGTGTCTATCGCGACAGGCGGGTGTCTATCGCGACAGGCAGGTGTCTCACCGCAGCTCCTGGGGGCTCACGGGGGTCCCCGCCAGCCTCAGGACCCTCAGGGGGTCGCGGGGCCCGAACGCCGCCAGGGCCCCGCCCAGGTCGGGATCGCGGCGCCCGCTCAGGTCCAGCTCCAGCAGCGTCCGGTGCCAGCGGAGCGTCACAGCCAGCCACGAACCCGAACCGGAACCGGGACCGGGACCGGGACAGCCGGGGGGGACTGACACCGACAGACGCTCCAGCCCTGGGGACACAGGTGTGACACAGGTGTGACACAGGTGTGACACAGGTGACAATGGCTCAGGTCCAGCTCCAGCAGCGTCCGGTGCCAGCGGAGCGTCACAGCCAGCCACGAACCGGAACCGGAACCGGAACCGGGACCCAAACAGCCGGGGGGGACCGACACTGACAGACGCTCCAGCCCTGGGGACACAGGTGTGACACAGGTGTGAGTGACACAGGTGTGAGTGACACAGGTGTGACACAGGTGTGAGTGACACAGGTGTGACACAGGTGTGAGTGACACAGGTGTGAGTGACACAGGTGTGAGTGACACAGGTGTGACACAGGTGTGAGTGACACAGGTGTGAGTGACACAGGTGTGAGTGACACAGGTGTGACACAGGTGTGAGTGACACAGGTGTGACACAGGTGTGACACAGGTGTGAGTGACACAGGTGTGAGTGACACAGGTGTGACACAGGTGTGAGTGACACAGGTGTGACACAAGTGTGAGTGACACAGGTGTGACACAGGTGTGACACAGGTGACAATGGGACAGGTGTGACACAGGTGTGACACAGGTGACAATGGCTCAGGTCCAGCTCCAGCAGCGTCCGGTGCCAGCGGAGCGTCACAGCCAGCCACGAACCGGAACCAGAACCGGGACAGGTGACACAGGTGACACAGGGACAGACCGGGGACACCGACAGACGCTCCAGGGCTGGGGACACAGGGACAGGTGACACAGGTGACACAGGTGACAATATGACAGGTGACAATGGAACAGGTGACACAGGTGACACAGGGACAGACCGGGGACACTGACAGACACTCCAGGGCTGGGGACACAGGGACAGGTGACACAGGTGGGACAGAATACAATGGGACAGGTGTGACACAGGTGTGACAGGTGACACAGGTGACACAGGTGACAATGGAACAGGTGGGACAGGTGACACAGGGACAGCCTGAGGACAGCGCCACCGAGAGCCGCTCCAGCCCTGGGGACAGGTGACACAGGTGGACACAGGGACAAGTGACAATGGGACCAGCTGTCCCCAGGTGTCCCCAGGTGTGTCTGGGTGTGTCCCCAGGTGTGTCTGGGTGTGTCCCCAGATGTCCCCAAGTGTATACCCAGGTGTATCCCCAGGTGCCCCCAGGTGTCCCCAGGTGTATCCAGGTGTCCCCAGGTGTGTCTGGGTGTGTCCCCAGGTGTCCCCAGGTGTGTCTGGGTGTGTCTCAGGTGTCCCCAGGTGTGTCTGGGTGTGTCTCAGGTGTCCCCAGGTGCGTCTGGGTGTGTCCCCAGGTGTCCCCAGGTG